TGTTTATCCAAGAAATTCAATACAACCTTTTTATCTTGTTTCAAAAGTTTGTTTGTAAATTCACTTAAAATTTCTAAATAAGAAAGGTTCGGAGGTGGTCCAGTTGGATCAATTTCAATGCCATCCTGTGATGAAACAGCAAAGAGAATCCCTTGTCGATGTAAAGCAGTTATAGCTTCTCGATTTTTTACTGCATCTAGTCCAAAAGACAGAGCAAATCGCTTTGCAAGTTCTTTAATTGCAGTGAATTCCTCGCTGTTTCTACTAACTTTTTCATCCTTCTCAACTATTTCATTATATAAAATATTTAAACTTTGCTGCATAGTCAATGCACAATTAGTTTTATTAATATCTCTAGCCTTGCCTATAGTTGTTTTAATAATGTCTCCATAATCATTATAATATTTAACATGATGTTTAAAAACATCAGCAGCAGCTTTAGTTGGAATCATATTATAAACAATTAGTTTGCAGTAGGCTGCTAAGAAATTTCTTTTCTTATGAAGTTCTTCAATTTTAGAATGTTCGTCATGATCTTCTTCTTCTCCGTCAGAAAAAACATACTGTTGAATAAATTTGTTAAGCATGTCTTGCATATTTTGATCAGGATCATAAACTAATTGATGCAGAAGAGAATTCTTTTGTGAGGTTAATTGATTACAAAATATTACTAATAAATCACATATTGTATTATAAGCTTCTTCTCTTAAAAGCGTAGGTATATCATGGTCAACATTAACAAAATAGCTCATACAATTCATAAAATCATACAATCGACTCTTTAACTTATGACATTCTTCTTCTGATCTATTATCGGATTCAATAGATTCGATTAAATTATTTTGTGACCATAATATAGAAAAAAAGCAAGCACTGATACAATATTTTACTGCCTCATTAGGTAACCTATATCGAGATTCTTTGATATCTTTAAATAAAGAATCCCAAATTTCACATGTATTCATATCATGGCAACTATAAAAAATTGCTACTTTTTTCAAAGTTTCCACAACTCCAAAAATATCATCCTCATTTGGCTGATCATTTCCATCAATCATATACCTGAACTCAGTAATAACATCTGTATATTTAATAACAATGGTATCAATAAGTGTTGATCTGGCTACATCACATTTTCTGAAAATAGCTGAACCAGGAACACACATGTATTCAAGAGTTTTTGCAGCTGTATCTAATACTTCGCTGTTATGTGATCTATTTACAATATCATGAATTTTACTTAATAAAAAGTCTAAATTTTGCTCTTGCCTTGATTTTGTATAAATATCTAATTCAAAATATTGTGGTATAGATAATAAATTTGCAAGTTTTTCAGGATCAGCACGATATTTATCTAATAAAAGGGGTAATGCTTGAATAAAATGTTCAGTTAAACGTTGTTTGTCTTCTTGAACTTGTTTTGATTCCTTTGCAGATAAGATTTTTCTAGTTGGACCTCGGCCAACTGGAGCTTCACCAGTAGCTGACTGCTTAATACAGCATACCATAATTTCAATAAGCGAAGTTTCTTGCTGATTATCCAAAGCTTCTTCGTTTTGACCAGGCTCTTCTAATAATAAATCTGTCATACATTCCCAATCTTTCATCATTTGGTTTGTTTCTATCAATGAATCTACTAAATATGCTCCATGTTCATGAAGCTCAGATTCAATAAAGAATAAGACCAAATCTCTTATAAAAGGTGTATTGGGTAATCGTTTTTTACCACGTTTTGTTTTTACCTCTATCTCTTCATTAGATGTAAAAAACCGTTCGTTTACAAATTCTCCAGCTGCTTGAGCTACAGCTCTATGAGAAGAATAAACCAATTCATAAACATGTTCACAATCCTTATCAGTAAGAATTTCACGATGATGTTTATATATTGAGATTACTAGCTTTACTGCTTGCACTGCTACATCATACTCTTTATCCAAAGTCATAGCTACAATACGATCTTTAAATTTACTAGTGAAAAGTTCTAATTTTGTTTTCAATTCTTCTGAAGCATAAAGTGGTTGTAAAGCTTGTAAGCATTTTAATCTAACTTCTCCCACTTTATCATGTAATGTCCACCCTATATACTTTAAATAAGAATCATCAAGAAAATTTTGATGAAATTTTTTCATCCAAACTCCAATTTCTGCCATACAAATAGCACGTATTTCAGGAAGAGTATCTCTGTATCTATGTACAAAAACAGATTTAAACATATATGTAAGCATATTTTTTATTTCATCCATATTTTCTTCAAGCTCCTTTCGTTTTGCCATTAAAGATTCTAATCTATCTGCGGCACGTTTTTCTCTGGCTTTCTGGCGCTCAGCTTCATATTGTCGTTGAGTATTATCCAAATTAATAGATACAGTTAATGCAACATCCACTAATGCAGTCATTAATTTCATAGCTGCCAAAGTTGCAGTATGTCGAAATGCTCGAACTTGTGAATCAGATAACCCTGTTAATAAGGATATGATATTATCCATAAGGAATTGATCGTAAATAATAGAATACTGACATTGGCGAACCAAAATCTGTACAAATTCACAAAAATTAGCACGAAATTTCTTCCACTGTTGACCAGTCATTATTAAAGGATATTCTCCACTTTCTTCATCAAACTCTTCAGTCATTTTTCTAATAATATGCACATGTTCTAATGTTTGCATTTCTGAAGTAATAAGCCCCTTGCAACCACTAGCACTAATAAAAAATTGCATTAACATTAAAAGAGCATTTTCCCTATTAATTTTGTATTTTTCAATCCATTCATCTACGATGCCTGTTAAGGATGATCGATTATTACGAACTGCAAAATATAAACTTGCTTCATCCTCTAAATTATGGGATTGAAGACTGCGTCTTCCACGTCCTCTTCCACCCCCACGTCCTCTAGTTGTTGTACTAGTTGTAGTTGGTATATAATCTTCATCAATTTCTTTATACTTTGGTTGTTGGATAGGACCACCTCGTAATCTAGCACGTATATTCCTAGTTATTCGCATATTACTTGGAGCATTTGGTATAGAAATTGGTGAGTCCAAATTTGGATCCTGATAATCATGATTGGTACCATAAGCAGTATCTGGACCATCTTCAGAATAATTTTCAGATATAGAAGTAATCATTGCCGTCTCATATTCTGGAGGCACTGGATCATCCATCCGTATACGTTTACCTCCTCTTCGATGCATCATTGCCTTTCTATATTACTTACAAACAAGAAAAATCTTAAAAGCAAAATAAATTAGTAACTAATTTAATAATGAAAATTAATAAAAAATTAATAGAGAATTAATAACAAAATTTATAAATACCTAAGCGCAGATATTTACAATGCAAATAATTATTTACATCGTCAACATTTTTATATAATCTGTTTGTTATTTGGTTAAACAGTTCCAACCCGTCAACTAAAATTACTTTAAATAGTCTGTTTCAAAATGGTGTATTTTCTTTGCGCATGCTCAAAAAATTAGCGCCGTTACATTAATGAATTCATGTCTTTTTTAACATGCATATAATAAACTGTATAATTAATTAAAACAAAATGAATAATGAAAATATAATAATACAATAATAAATTGGTATATTTAAATACTTTTTGATTATTTATCGCTAAACAAAATTTTTAAATCTTTCTATTTAATTTATGTATAATATTAATTAAATTATTTGAAGGGGCTTAAGTAAGGTATGATGTGCGCCTCTAATTTAATTAAAATATTGGGTATATGTCAATTTTGTTTGATTTAATTGAATAGTTTTAAAATTTCTTATCTTTTTAATTAATTTCTACGCTGTAGATTTTTTATTCATTATTGATTTTATGGCATTGTTTAATACTCGATAATATATTTTTAAATAATATTGTGTTATTTCATCAAAAATATTGTTCAATATTTTTATTTTTATTTTGTAATTAACAAATTTAATAATTATATTTAAAGGAAAAACAATTGATTTAATATTATTGTATATATTAATAAATACAGGGTAATATATGTAAAATATATTTAATAACAAGCATTTTACTTCCGTAATTATATATATGAATTTATATGAACTTATAAAACTAATTTAAATAGTATTAATAATAAAAATTAAAACATGAAATTATTGAAATATTAGAAATTAGTTTTATATATTAATACTTTAATTAATTAATATTTTATTTGATAATATTAATGTTATTGTTCTGTTCTATTATGTGCAAAATTATAGTAAATAAACATAATCAAATGAAAAACAATAAAATTAATTGTTATTTTTTATTCAAACCTTAAATTGCTGTTATTTATTAAAAGACGGAGATATGAGAAGTTTTTAAAAAACATTTAACCTTTTATACCAATATAAAATATGAAGATAATTTCCGTTTCATTTAGGTCAATGAAAAATACTCGCCAAGGATTATACTCCACTGCATAAGTAAATAAGGTTGCAAATTAAGCTGTTGTAACTAGCTTTACAGAAAACTGTTGGTGACTATTACGATAATAAATAATAAAAAATTTAATAAGTAGTAATAAATGGCTACTTATACTATATTTATGAAGTTATATTTGCATTGAATAATGAAAGAATAAGAATATTAACAAAACGTTTCTACTGCTCTTCAATATATTTTCAAGCATATTTTCTCTTGATATTATTGATCACTACATAAATATTACAAAGATTTGCATTTTGTGCTGAAATATGTAAATATATATCGTCAGTAGGTTTACCTATGCGATATAAATTAATACCTATATGATTATTAATGTGTGTATCTGTGTATTAATAATGTACTTATTTTCATTCTAAAAAAATTATGTTTATCAAACATAAAACGGTTTAATAATTATTTATTAATCATATTTTTATATATGCATAAGTTTATACGAATACAAAAGGCTGTATGATTAACCGCCACCTCAAGCTTGGGAAGCAATTTTTCTATTGTAATTTTAAAAATATTAATTTATATAATATATAATATTAATCGAATATTATATTTATATATGCGTATATTTATATGTATTTACATGTACGTATTGCTTATGTATATACATATAAATATGTGTAAATATTAAATTTACATATACATTTATTATAACAATACCCCACAGTTAGATAGCAAATTTTCATTGCTGACAAACTTAATATTTGTCTATTCTCCAAAAGTCACTGTGATATAAACGTGATAATAAATCTATAAGACTTAAGATTCCTCCTATTACAAAAAAATAATTATGATTGGAGCCTATTTTATAATGCTCAAAGTATTTGCATCAGTAAAAAAATGTAACAAAATTACGATTTATTTACTTATTTTTGTATAATTGTATGAATTCATAATCTCAACAAATTTAGAAAATATAATATATTTAACTATTTTCTCATGAGCAATATTTCCTCAAATCTAAGTTGGTTTGAATTCTCATTTGATCTTCTCGATCTACCAAAACGCTTTCCAACATATCCTTGTCTATGCAGTGGCTATACTAAAACTATGATCTCAGATTTAATTCAGATTTTGTTTTCATTCCTTCTTACTTGGTTGAAAGATCTTTTATAAATTACTTCTAGAATTCTTTATTATGAAATCATCATTAATCTTTTTGCTATATAGAATAATACATATTTACACAATTATTATGAATTATCATTAATCTTACTGCTATATAAAATAATACATATTTTTAATAACACTTCATAATAATTTTATTCCTTGTGGGTTCCTATCTCAGCTATTTTAAATGTATTTGGCATAATTAAAACAATAAAAAGGATTGAATATTTTAAATTTTATTTATTTGGTTCAATGATAAAAAAATATGTGTTTTTCAAGTAATATATGAATTATAATCACAAAATAAAAGCGTGCCGAAACATTATAATTATCGACATGTATATTCTTATATCGTCTAAGCAAAAGGCTTATAGTTATTATCGTTTTAGTGCTTCGAAAATTCTGAACTTTCTTTATTTACCTAATATATTATAGCTTTTTAGAATTTGTTAATAGACTTTATAGATCGATTATTTATGTCACTTGGCCATTTTAAATTCGAAGGTGAATGTTCTTTTATCAGTAGTAGGATAAAGACGATTAATTTCTAGAAGTCGTTTGGACTACATTATTAAACCAGTCATAAAACTTGTAAAGTATAATTGTCAGGCTCCAGGTGAATTTCACAAATTAAATATTGAAAAAAGCACTATATTAATAAGATCAGCTGACATGAATGATGAGAATCAATATTTAAAAAACAAAACCAGTATACATGAAGTCAAAATAAAGTAACGAAATGAATATTAACAATAATTTAAGTATAAAATATTATAAATTGTATTATTCTTCTTTTCTAATTAACTGATGTGTTAATATTAAAATATTAAATTATATATTATATTACGTTATATATTAGATCCTTTTACATTTGGAACAACATATGTAACAACTTAGACATCATTTTTGTCTTGGATTCATACTATTATTATACTTAACCAATATAGTAAATTAAAATGTAAATATAGTGAAATTTTATTGTTGTAAAATATATTCAATCATCTCTATCTATCTAACATCTCAATAAAAAATAAAATTATATCGATTTTATAAAGATCAAATTATATAATTTTCTTATATTAATAATATTTTACCAAATAATTCTATTACTCAATTAGTAGATGATAATATTTTGTAACTATTATGTTCCTAGAGTGTCCTACAATTAAAATACATAATTTTGTATTTCTGTTATGAATTGTAATTTGTAAAAGAAATATTTATTGTTAATTGGAACATTGTTCGTAAATAATAATAATGACACGCATTGTTATACTTTTTACTCCTTCTAATAAAGATACTAAAAAGTCTATTCATATTAGGCTAACAAACTGATTCCAGTTCATTGTTCATTATTTTATTTTGTTTTAATTCTAATATTTGTCTATTAATTACAATTTAATAGACTTTATTACAAAACGAAAATCCTTTAAAATATTTATTTATAAATATTAACATTTATATTTATAAATGTTTATAAATGTATAAAATATTTATAAATGTAACATTATTTTAGATAAATATATTTATTTTGAATATCAATAAATTAGTTTTAAAAGCCATAATTTCAAAAATTATAATAATAATTTATATGACCATATAGATATAGATACTCAAAATGTATTTGAAACAAGAATAAAAATAAATGTTTTAACGTATCAAATTATTTTAGAGAAGTTTTAAAATAAATTTTAGATAAATTATATATATATATTAATTTTAGATAAATTTTTAGATAAATAAATAAATAAGCAATAATTCATTTGAATGTTATATAATTATAACTTAATATGTACATAATATAGAAAAACCTTTAAAAATAAATTTGTTATTTTAATGTTAGGCAAATATATTACATTTACTAATTAAATAATAATATTTAAAGAGTCTTAATCAATGTGTTCATGTTCTGCATTACTTTCTCTCCATGTATTTTGTACAAGTTCCATAAATTGTTTCCACAACTGACTTTGTGAGGTAAAATAAAGTAGACATGCTGTAATAAAAATCCATGATAAAACTAAACAATAATCTGTTTCATTTGAAGGAGTAAATGACACTGGGCCACTAAAATCTGCAGATGTAACATATAAGGATTCATTTGGTTGTAGATTTGTCAATTGAGATATAAATTTAGAAAAATTTTCCAGAGTATATACAGTTGCATTAAATTTTGCCACAGGTTTTGCATTATGAACAAGTATTAATGTCGGTACTCCTACTATTCCATACTGTGTATTAAAACTGTAACAAAAGCAGAAGTATACAACGTATAAAATTTTAAAAGTCCATGTAGAAATTACAAAAATAAATTAATTCAAAGTTTTGCGTACAATTATATATTTAATATAATATATTTTGTTTACTTGATGAATAAAATTCCAAATAATTATTTCTAATTTTATAAAAATCCAGCAATTTAAAATAAAACTAGTTTTATAAAATTTATTTCCTTTCTTAGTATATTAAGATGTTAATATTGATATTAAACATTAAGATAAAATTTTAAAACAGGAAATAGTTTATTAACTTTTATATTATATATATTTACTTTTGATATTTCATTGCATCAATTGCAACAACTTTTATATGTGGGTAGAACCTTGGTATTGCATTAAAATCAGGAGCTGCTTGACTACTGAAAATACACCATCTTGCATAAAACATTATAAGAATACATGCTCCTGGTAACATTTTATCTTCTTTACTATTCCTAGTTCGGTTTGGTGTTCCAATTTCCAAAATCAAAAGCTCCATCAAACGAGTATAGTTAACAATCTAAAAATTAATTTAATATATGTAATTTGTTAAAACTTTTACTGAAAAATAAACGAAATAGAAAATAAAATTCAGTTACAAGTTAAAAATTGAAAATTAAATTTAGTACCTCAACAGGACCGTATGTTTTATTAGTTAAACAATTTACTTTGGTAAAATTAATTATTGTATTATCTGATATTGTTTCATTATTATCATTATTTTTTGAATTATTAAAGTAAACTTCAGCAATATCTTCTACAGCTGCTGAAGTTTCTTGTTCCCCAATTATTTCTATTATTTGGAAAACTATAAATGAAAAAATATTTTTATTAAATACTCAATATATTATAAAAAATTTATTTTTATTACAATTATAATTTTTATTACTTAAAATTATAATAAAAAAATTAAAATTTTTAGGATAAATTGTCATTTCGATAAATAACCTAAAACACTATTAATAATAATTTCATTCGTTCTTTTCGAAGTAATTTAAACAGTAACTTTTCATAAATTAAAATTGTTATATTTAACTCAACACAAGAATGCTTTTAAAATAAATGCGTTATGATTTTTATCTTCATATTATAACTTTTCGATTTGGAAATATTATTCTTTAATTTTACTATGTTTCTCTCAGGGGTTCTCAATTACTTTTAAAAAATGTATACTATGTCCGATGCTACAAAGAATGTGGTACAAATTTAACATTTGTATTGTTGAATGAATTATACTATTAATTAAACAATTATTCTTGGAAATTAATTTTAATCTAATTGTAGTATTGCTTATCCATAATTAAGAAACAATAAGACATTTTATTTCTTATTAAATAAGACATCTTTTATGTCTTATTTTATTTAACAATAAGGTATTTTTTAATTTGTTGATTATATGATAAACAATTGAGATAATAAATAATGCAAACATTTATTTAAGAAATAAAATTTATTTATTGTATAAAATCATAAACTTGTATTTAATCGTTTAAATTTTAAGTATAGCAGGCATTTCATCGGGTTGACTATGCAATACAGCCAAAATATTTTTCGCTGTTATGATTGACATTTCTTCACGCGTTTTTATAGCAGCACTTCCCAAGTGTGGAAAAATAACTGTAAATGAACCATTTCATCAATTTATTTTAAAAATTTGTTATAATTTAATCTATATTATGATTATGAAACATACCACAATTATTAAGTTTAAGTAGTTCACTATCAAGTGGTACAGGTTCAGGTGTCATTACATCTAAACCTGCTGCTTGTATAGTACCATTTTTTAAAGCCTCAATTAAAGATGGTTGGTGCACCACTTCTCCTCGACTAACATTTATAAAAATTGCACTTTTTTTCATTTTCACAAATGTTTCTTTGTTAAACATCTCTCTAGATTCTGGTACTAAAGCTATTGTAACTATAACAAAATCACTATTATTTAATAAAAAATCTAAATTAACTTTATGTGCTCCCAGTTTTGTAGCTGCTGGCTTTTCAGTACGACTAGTGTATAGAATTTGATTAACTCCAAAGCTACAAAGGTATTCTGCTATCCTAAGACCAATACGACCCAATCCTACAATTCCAACATTTGAACCAGAAATTCTTGATCCAGTCATCCAAAGTGGAGACCAACTTTTCCATTCCCCTCTATAAAAATTAAAAAGAATCAAACTAATACATGTGTATCATAATATTTTAAGTAAATATACTTAATGATATATTATATATGATAAAATAATAACAAAATTTGTACTTATATATTGATCTATTTGCTTCAATCAATCTTCTCGCAGTAACTAATAATAAACCCATTGTTAATTCAGCAACAGCATCAGTTAATACTCCAGGGGTATGTCCAACTAATATATTTCGTAATTTTATAGCTTGCAAATCTAAATGATCTACTCCAACAGACATTGTTGCAATAATTTTTAAGTTTGAACCAGCTGCATTTAAAACTTCATCATCAATTTTATTTGTAATAACACAGAATAAAGCATCTACTCCTTTTATCCTTAATAACAATTCTGTTTTAGGAATTGGTATGTCTTGATCCCAAATATCAACATTACATCTAGGTCAATAAATTTAATTAAATAGAAAAAAGTTAATTTGAGATATATTTATATATTAATAGATCAAATATAATATTCCATGTTAACAGACATTAGTCATTACAAGATTATAATTTTGAAAACTAAATAAAAAGTTAGCTTCAATTTAAGCATTAAATTAATATAAAGATACATTCACTATCTTCATTATATTTATTAAAATATTTTGACGTTAAATGATTTTTGTAAAATTTTATAAAAAAATTTACCAATAATTAAAATATTTATGCAAAACATTAAAATATTATATGTAATTATAAACTATTAAACAAGTTTTAATATTTTATATAAAGTTTGAGTAACCACCCCCTTCCATATGTCATATAAAATATCCATATAAACAATTGATTACTTGAATTAATTTTTTACCGAATATTGAATGATTGCGAAAATGCTAAGGAAAGTACTTTGAACATTCAGAATATTTGAGTTCTAAAAAAATCACGCATGTACTGATAGAAATGTTACTTTTCAATAGTTAAAATAGTACACTTTTAATATATACATACTTAATGGCACAACTTACTCATCTCTTAATAATTTCAAAGCGACTTCTGGAATACTAGAATGTGTCACTAAAACTTTTGGTCGTGTCATATTTATATATCCAATATTAGATAATGAATTTCTCGAATAATTATTACACTTCACAAACCAATGATTCGATGTCCACCTAGTGGAAAATTGAATTATTTTAGAAACTGTAGTAAATAGCTTAGAATACTTTTTAATATCATATACGTTTTTGTGACTAATTAACAAATTAATAAATATAATATTGAATTTTTTTGAATGTACATAAGAAATTGATCGCATTGCATTAGAAATCATGTTTCGACTTCGCAATACAGTAATCACTCATTCAATTTTTGCATTTAAAAAAATGTATTATTAAGCGCTTTTTAATTCTTATACCAGTTTCGAACGTTTCTGACCTTTCGAAATGTATCATACAAATGGTATAAATGGAAAAACTAAATTGTTTATTTGGATAAATTATAAAATGTTTGAAATGTCTGCTTATGTTGAAAAAACTAATCAGTTACTTTAGATTTGCAGGTTAATAACTAATTAGAAAAGTATTATTATAAAAAATATTATAAGAGAATAATTATGGAGTATTCTAGTAATCCACAATCAGTTAATAAGTAACAAGCACAGATAAAATATTGGAATAACAAATGATATTTTATTATATTAATTAAAATATTAATAATAGCAATCAACGATAAGCATTATTTATTATGTAATTATAAGATAATTATAAGATAAATTATGAGATAGAAAATATAAACAAAAATAAATTATATTTACTGACACTATTAGTAAATTTAAATTTCTAATCAAACTTCTCAATAATTTAAAAAGATGAAGTTAATTTATCAAATGTTCATTGTTTTAATCATCTAATTCATTCTGTTTAAATGTATACCTACTCTATAAAATCAAATTGTATAGTCATACAGTAACCATTTAAAATAAATGAAAATGGAAGATTAAAACTTATAAAATGCAATATAGTAATTATTATCTAGTTAATTCAAGTAGTATTATTTTAATTAATATTTTTAAAAAAAAAGAAAATATATAGTAGAGTAAAATTATATTAGTTTGCTAAAATATTTTAAGAAAAAATATAATAATTTAATATTTTATATAAATGTAATACAAATAGAGAAAAATGATAGATAATTAAAGAAATAAATATTATTTTACACAAATAATATTTAAAAATTTTATTTAAAAATAAACAAGTCAAATTATAAAGATAAAAATCTGAATCCATAGAAAATTGAATTAACTACAAATCCTAAATTACATTAAAATAATTTACTAGAAAGTTATATTTATTTATTATATTAATTTAAAAATGTATAACATTATTTTAGTAAAATAGTGAATTCCTTAATAAAAAAACTATTTGTATGGTATTGGTTTATTAAATTAAAAAAAATATAATTTTAATTGGACCATTAAATTATAATTTATTATTTTCTTTCATTCGAGTAGCCAATATTGTATTTTTCATTAACATAGCTACAGTCATTGGTCCAACACCACCTGGAACTGGAGTTATATGACCTGCAACTTTTTTTACAGATTCATAATGTACATCACCAAGCAATCTAAATTTATTTTCAACTTGTACTTTTGAAATGCCAACGTCAATAACGCAAGCTCCTGGTTTTATCATTTCTTTTGTTATCAAACCAGGTACACCTGCTGCTGCAATAACAATATCTGCAAGTTTTGTATATTTTTTAAGTTCATTATGTGGTGTATATCGATGACAAATAGTAGTGGTGATATTGAGTCCAGAAATCTCACCTTTAATAATAAAAATTTAGTTTAATAATGAAAAAATTTATTGTTTTTATATTATAATGTTTTATTAACCATTTTCATCCGAATGTAGCAATAACGCAATCGGAAAACCAACATGTTTTGATCTACCAATAACTACGGCATTTCTTCCATTAGTAGGTATTTTTGATCTAATAATTAATTCTTTGACACCTAATGCAGTTGCAGGAATAATTCCTTTAATATTTAGAGCCAATCTTCCAATATTTTCTGAATGAAATCCATCTACATCCTTATAAGGTATCACTGCTTGACAAATTTCTGTTTCATTTAAATGTTTAGGAATAGGCAATTGTACTAAAATACCATTTACAGAAGGATTTACATTGAGTTTTTGTATGGACTCTAATAACTCTTTTTGTGATATATCTGATGTAAATTGTATAACATCGCTATCAATTCCAACATATTTAGCAGCTTCAATTTTTTTTTTAACATACACTTTACTACCAGGATTATTTCCAACCAATATAGCAATTAATCGTGGTCTGTTTCCACCATCGTTGATCCAATCATCAACTTCAATTTTTGCTTCCTGTATTATTTGATCAGCTATAGCTTTTCCATCAATTATAACTGCTTCACATCTAAAATTATATAAAACTTGATATTGAAATTTATTATTACCAAATTATAAAATATAATTTTTTAAATTAAATTACAGTATTTTTGAAGAATGTAATTCTCGTAAAATCCATCCAATATTAAGCAACTTTGATATTTTACAACGTAACATAATCAACTAATAAAGAAATAATTGTTTATAAACTTTTAATTTTTATAAGATTTTAAAATTAACTATTTTGCAATTATTATTTAAGACATACAATATTTATGTATCATATTTTTCAAAATATTACAGTACGGTATCTAACCTTATTATATATCTAAATAATCGTATTAAACTTAATTTTTATAAATCCAAACTTTTCAATGTAGAATTATGAATATCACAAATTTAATTAAATCTCATGACATCATTTAGCAAATGAAATAAATTTACAAAACTGTATTGTCATATGATAAAAATTTATTGAAACAATTCATCGTCGTATGATAAAACCGATTAAGTGGTATTTCTTAATTTAATATCTACTTGAAATTAGAAAATATCTAGTGTAGAATTATTTGTGATTCATATTAACTGATATTTAATAACATAAATAGAATGTCTAGTAAGGTTGTACTTTACTAAATTATATTAGTTCGACAAACAACATTAATTTTTATTTAAATATGTAAAATGTGACTATTACTTTAATACAAAAAATAAGTAAGCATATTTTTGTACTAAAAAAAATTATTAATTCATAAATTATAATTAAAGTTCAGAACAATTAAAAGATTGTTCGTATTAGTATTGAAGTCATACCAATAAAGTTGATTTCTTAAATATTATGTGGTAACAAATATAATATAATATACTATTGACAGACTATATTTTATTAACTTTGTATTTTTACCATAAAGTTCAACTCATATATTTTGCTTAAAGTACAAAATATTCACAAAATTATACAATAACTTATTTAATTCATAAATATTATATTTCGATATGTAATATAAAATTATTAAAATAATATAATGAAAATGAAGATATTAAAAACCAACAAAATTATAATAAAAGACTTTAAAAAATATGAATTTCCTCGTATCATCTCATTGAAATTGAAACACCTTTTAATGCTTTGAGAAATCTTTATTAATATTAAAGAGATTTATTTCTACCGAAAATATTTATTGTTAATCAATCTTGTAAAAACATTTAAATATAAAAAAAACTTATTGCAATGTTTGTTCAAGTTGAATTTTATATATGAACAATTACTGATAAGTGTTCAAATATTCAGATCCATTATCAAGGAGGTGAACAAAGTTTCACGTTAAAACAAAAGATAAATTTTAGGAATTTTTTGTCAATTTTCTCAATATGTATAGTGATTTATTTACAGTATATATTTATGTATGAAAACAAGTTTTTACAAAATTAATAACAATAATAAAATGATTGTAATTTTGTAATATGTGAGAATATTTGAAAGGTAAAAGCTATTTAAAACTTCATGAAGATGGCCAAGTCCCATCTATGCACAGCAGTAATGTTTGGATTGTTCTTAGAGTAACCAGATATATTTATCCCCCTTCTCCATCTCGAGCTACAATCCCAGCATGCATTCTGGATGTTTCCATCTTTAACGAAGGATGAATTATGGAATGCGAATCGTATTCACAAATATGCCTAGGGTAAATCGAACCTCGTCCACTTGTTACTGGGTAGTTATTGCGTTGCTGCTTCTCTTGACGATCCTTTGAGGTAAGGAGGACTGTGAGTACGAGGTCACCTCTGTCACTCAATTTCAATCACTCACAATTTATCTGCCGAAGTAACTATCCTTTTAATTATAATTTAAATTTAATTATAATTCCTTTCGTAGTTTTGCTTTTTCACTTAGCATTTTTGCTTCGAAGGATGCTGATAAATGCTTGATACCATATATACTACATAATCGGTTTTAATTCTCTATTCAGATTCAAATTATTAATCAATTTGAACTAACTACTTTAAGAAACTATAAAATAAATTATCCTTATTTATTTGTGAAATTAAATATTGCGCTTCTTTTTTTGTAAGCATTTTTTATTATAAATATAAGCGAAATATGGTGGCAATGTTTGGTTATACTTTGAATTTTTTAATTGAAATTGAAAAGAAAATGTTAAAATTTGTATTTATTTTTTAAATACCTACTGTTCTAGCGGCTTTTCATTTACTAGATTTATTAAATAATTTTGAGGTATTGATTTTACTATATACTTTACAGAAGTGATTTTTTTATTCTCACAACAAACTTAAATAATGTATCATGTTTTATATATAAATAATTATGTAATAATGATAAGCTGGAACAAGATACTAGGTCATGTAATTAGGGAAACGTGGCATCTATTCTGCAATGAAGATTGATTAAAATTGAGTATGGGACACAGACAATAGATCAAAATATAGGTAGAGCAATATTTGGCACAGAGAAGTAATTACGAGCTTTGTCATAAAGAATTTGTCAGTAAACGAAAGTGAATATTGCTGATTATTTACCTTGTCATCGTATCACTGGTATAAATCCTCGAGGCTCCATTGCGAACTGAACGAAGTAGCAGTTTGCCCCGTGCCTTCCTGGCCACGTGCCCCTTGAGTTCGACAATGAAACGCTCCGTAAAATAATCTTGCTGAAAGAGCGAATATTGGAGGAGTGTTGTGCAGGTGGGCCGTGTCTGTGGATCCATACGGAGGCATTGCAGTAGAAAGTTAAGACTGACAGAATCACAGTCTGTGAGAAGACTAAGGAGGAAATGCAAGAACCTATTCTTTTTTCGCAACATCAGAACTTCGTTCTTCGATTCATGAGTCATTGGTGACGGATGAGCTTCCTGGTGACATGGGAGCATTTATTAGTATCGGGTAGTGCTCGATGGTAATCACGAATAATGGCACAGAGATCGATATCTCTTTAATCTTTTCATACAAGAATTTATGTGCTATTAACATAAGTTAACAGAACATTAATTATTATTGTGCTTATTATAGACAGAGAAAACACACTGTAATTGTCAATGTGGGATAGATTTTCACGCACTATTAAAAATTAAAAAATTTAACTTTTCTCAAAAAGCAACTTTTAAAATAATAGTAAATTATAAAACAAAATTATAAAAACATACGGTTATTAATTCTTTGCTATGGGTACATTATATTTTATATTCGCATTTAATATTTGGAAATTGTGTAGTATGTTACGAAATATGATAAATATTTGCTACGCTGTCAAAATTATTTTACAAATTCACATAAGTAAATTATAACGGATTGTCTATTCCATACTTTATTTCTTAATCGTCATAAAAATTTATTATTGAATATTGTTGTTATAAATAATATAATTATTATATTTTTTATTTTCTAATCTATCAAAACTAATAAGAAAAGTTTTAGAAGACCGATTACTTTTAATCGGAATTTTATGAGTGTGTTTAAACGAATGTTTTATTTTAATGATAATAATTATAGCTCATATGTTAAGCTTATATAAATATTTAATTATAAAAAATATGGATGCAAAACTTATTTCAAAATAAAACCAAAATGAATTTAATTTTAGATTATAAAGCCATTATTAGTTAGGTTGCTTTGTAAATGGAATATAAATACTGTTGAACGTTGAAACTAATTGATGGCAATTGTTTCTGACGAGTTCGAGTTTCTGACCTGGAAAATATCTGCTCTTGCGGAGTGTCCAAGCATGTTAGTTAAGTAATAAGTTGTCAATCCCTCCTCCCCTAGACCGACAAGTGCTTTATAACGTGACATTTATACCTTAATCGAAAACATACAGCAATATCAGTGTTTTGTTCAAGCAGGAAATTCCCTTCTATTCAGAGCTTTTGCACTGGTGATGCCGAATTAGCTTGAAGAACTATAATTTGAAGTCAAGCACACACCTTTGTAAGCTACTTACCGAGCGTTCAGATAATGCGGAATAGCCAATCGAGGTCGCTGTCCCGGGGGAACGGGGGCACGCCCTTGAGCATCTCGGCAAAAGACAGCCCGTGGTCCAGATATCAATCGAACTTCCGTAGAGCGATCCCCGATGAGAAGCTGTGAGGCCCAAAATCAACGCGTCGCCATATGGTCAGTGCAGGACTTGTCGGACATAGTGACAATGCACCCGAACCCAAAGTTACAGAACTTCACACACCCCGCATCGATACTAATACATTCTCCGGTTTCACGACCCTGTGTATTATCTATAAGGTACAGCATTTCAAAACTCAATCGTATAATAATGACAATCGTATAATAAAAAATATCTCTTATTCATCTAATTGAAACCGATTACAATTATGCTTTCGTTATTATTTCTTTAACTTAGAATTTATTTAAATTTATGATTATACACTTAGTCATTTAATGAAATTCGATATTTTAAATGTAATTCTTACGCGGTTATAGACTTTTAATTAACAGTTTGAACTGTTTTTTTAATAATAAACATTGCAAGCTTATATTAAAATTTACGGGTTAATGAAGACGTATATTGTCAAATTTTTACAATAAATAAGTAGATAAATAATCTTTAATGAACATTATTAGATTTTAATAAATATATTAAACAAAAAATTTGAAAGAAATTGTTTTACATTTTGATTCATGATAAATATTACTCGACGATTGTAAAAAGTTATATATCATAGTGGCAACATACAAATATAAAAAGTACAAATTATATTAACGTTACGTCGAGCAGCTAAAACACTATGCATTCCAAATGATATTAAACGCATCTCTATCAAGGAATAATTAATATAGGTAAAAGCTTTATTTCTTTATGAGCACAATAAGAAATCGATCAAAAAATTATATATCTTTACGATTACTTATAATTTATATAGTATATTTATTATATTTTGTAATACGCCATTTCATTAACTTATATAGATATGATCTTAATATGACATTTGCTACTCTATTACAATTCGTTGAAATTCGCATGATCTAGATATTAAAAAATCAAATAAAACCGTTTTTACGCTTAAAGACTTCGATCAAACTCATAAGATTTTCATGCCTCAATGTCTGAAAATTTAAGCACTCCATTTTCTATACGATCATTTTATAAAAAGCCGAAAGTCTTTGAGTTGATTTATGTTTTCCGAAAAATGTATATAGACCGTATCATGGATATTTTAACCATTGGTCGGTCTATTTCAATACTTCAA